CTTTGATCTACATAGACATAGCAGCTTGTATTTGTGCACACTCCTTGAGAGGTCAGCAGCGTATCAAGAGCCATCCTATTTGGTCAAGCAATTTTAGCTCAGACACTTCTTGCAGGGCCTTTAGAGCATCGTAAGTCCAGTTTTCTCAATTGAGGCCAAAATATTTCCTATGGCTTTTTCCAGTTTGCTGACCCCTAACCATGGAATAAACCAGCTGGCAAAAGAAGGAAAAGCTCTTGGTCATTTTACAAGAGGATTGGCTTTTTTTTCCCTCACTCTTTAGGAATGATCTTAGGCAAAATTGGTTATTTCCACTAAATTTGTCCATGATTGTTATATTTGGAACAATTGCACCTGAAGTGCATATTCCTGCCCAGTTCACCAGTAAAACTTTCCTGGCTCACGTGCCACATATCCAGTACCATTCCTCACCTTCTGGAACTGGCCAGACAATATTGGGCAAGCCAACATTTCCTCTTTTTCCTATTGTTATTGTACAATTACAGCTAGTGTCATTTCCCACAGAATTGTTGTTTTCCAACACGCAATTTATTCTATCTATCCCCCTTTTTTTTTTTTTTGGAGGGGGGAGATCTTTGGAAACATAATTCATAACTCTCATGTGGAGGTGGGTTTTCTACTTCCCATCCCCGAGATTCTAAAGATTCGATTTTAAAAGAGGGTTTACTCCACGGATTTTGCCATGATATATTTGAAGGAATGGGTATTCTTGTTAAAGGACTCCCCTTTTGGCCATATTATGGAAAATGAGTACAAACCCAGAAATTAGACTGGTGGGTGACTGTAATTGTCCTCTGAATCAGATTGGGATGTAAATTCCGATCTCACAGATTTCCTGGTTCCTGTTGAGTCAGAAAAATTAGCATACAATACCATATCACCCAAACTAATCTCACTTTGTTCTTGATAGACGTTTCTAAGCACGTCTCCCACAAAAGGAATCAATATTATGAATAGTATACAAACCAAAGTAATAAATCCTTGAGCACAATCTAAATCAGAATGTGACTTAATGGATTCCCAGCTACAGTTTACTGGATGCTCAAAATCCTCAGCTTCAAAGGTTGGGTTTCCTCAGAAATCCACTCTTCCTTTGGAGCTTCTTTTACTCTGGTGTAGGGTATCCAAGAGTCAATCCCTTTTACTTTAAAGTGGTGTAGGTAACCAACAGTACCAGGTAAGGCCCTTTGCACTGGTCGTTTAAGGGCTCATCCTTCCAAGTGTGGATACAGACTCTATCTCCTGGCTGGAAGTCATGGACTGGAGTATCTAAAGCTATAGATGATCTCTGGTTTAAGGACCTTTTTACCCTTAGATAACTCCAAGGCTCAAGTTAAAGCTGTAATTTCTGCCTTTTGAGCAGAGGTATTGGGTAGCCATGCTCATGTTTCAGTGGGGTTCCACCAGGCCATTCCTCATCTCTCCATTCTTCTCGTTCTCTGGCACATATGTTACCAAACAGGCTTGGGCTATTCTTGAATCCCTGGAGCAGCACATTCCAGCAGAGTTGTACTTTCCTACCAGTGCTGGGACTCTCCCATTCAAAGGCAAAAATTTTCTGGCTCTCCTCCTCCAGGGGAATACAAAAGAAAGCATTTTTAAAATCTAACACTGTAAAATATACACTATTTGCAGATATTGTAGACAGTAGAGTGTAGGAGTTAGATACTACAGGGTGAACATCTACGGTGATTTTATTAATTTCCCTTAAATTTTATACCAGTCTATATTCTTTGAGTCCGGGTTTCCTTACCAGGAGGATAGTGGTGTTATACTCAGACCAACATTCCCTTAGTAAGCCATATTGCACGAAGGTATTAACGGTTCTAACCCCACTCTAGCCTCTAATTTCATTTGACACTGCTTTTTCCTTATCTGTTGTGATCGTGATTTTAAATCCACCTTTACCAGAGTAGCATTCTTTGTTCATCCAGGTTTCTTGGAGGCCCATACCAGGGGTATTACAGTATCCAAAATTTCTTCCGAGATCTTGGTCCCTTTCTGCTCCTTTTCAGTCAACAGACACGATGAAACTCTCCACGCTGTCTCCTCAGGCACGTGTAGCTGAAGAGACTCATCAGAAAATGTTAGCTGTGCTTTCAATTGGCATAATAGATCTTGTTCCAGCAAGGGGAGGATCAACAGTTTCATTCCTCAGCTTCACTGGAACCAGGAGGTCAGCTGGGGAAATTTTAGTATTTTCCGCCGGTCCCTGTCAGTCTGAATCTGAGGTTGCTAGCACGATCAGATCTGCCTCAGGTTCCAGACCCCCTTGGGCCACTGTCCTTTTTTTGTAATCTCTCCCTCTCTGGACACTCATTTTTCCTTAGAATAAGCACATTGATTTTGTCCTAATGGCCTGCAGATGACATGATTATTCACGTGGCCTCTTCCCCTACCATTACACCACCCCTTCTGAACCCTCTACCTCTCGCTGAACTCTCAGTAATTGCTGCTGCCAACAACGTAGACTGTAATTTTCTCTTTCTGCTTCTCCTTTTGTCTCTCCTTTTTTTCGACTTCATCACGAATAGTATAATAAACCTTACAAGCTATTTCAATTAATTGTGAAATCAACATTTCTCTGGCACCATCTGCCTTTTGTAATTTTTGCCTAATATCTGAGGCAGATTGTGCAGTGAGAAACATATCAAATATTCTCCTATTCACCTCATCTTCTGGATTCAAATCCGTCCACTGTCTAGCAACATTACACAACCTTTCGTAAAATGCTGATGGATTTTCTTCACTTCCCTGACTTATTTCATATGACTTTGACACATATTTGTTTCGGAATTCTGTGTTGGACCCCATACAAAATTAATTGCTGATATTGTTTATTTTTCCCCGCACTGATGTTTGGATCTTATTCTGGATATATGCTGTGCATGTGTCTGGCAGGGTCATCATTAGCATTATGGCATTCATTCCCTTCCCTAGCCTTTTCTAGCACCAGACACTTCTCTTCCTCTGTAAAAAAAAGTATTAATCATTGCCTGAAGAGCTCCCCAGTTAGGGTTAGGAATTAGTAGTATTGTTTCCAACAGCTGATACATCTTCTCTGGATTTTTGTGGTATGATCCCATTGACTGTTTCCAGTTCAACAAATCCGAGGTGGTAGAAGGTACATGTACAAACACAGGCATTCCTTCCTGTGGAGAGCCTTTTGGCAGAAAATGGACATCTCGGCTCGACGATGTCCTTGATTGAAGAATAAAGAACGACTGAAGAAAGTTGGCAGCTGATAAACAAGAAAATACAGAGTTGCAGAACTAAAGAACTGATAACAAGGATGCTGATGGTAGAGTTAATCTTTTAGCTTAGCCAATCAGTGTATAGACTAGAGCACGTGGACAGCAAATGCACAGAACATTGTAATCATAATAACGCAGCCTAACTCATGCTTACTGACATAGTTTTGAAGATGGTATAAATTCTCAGTGTTAATAACAATAAAGGTCTCTGTCTGTTTACACTGTACATGGAGTCCATATCTCCATCTACCCACCTTCCACCCCGGCTGCTTGTCGGAGGAGTGCTTGTACAGCTGGATGCTGTCCTCTAGTCCTTCCCGAGACTGAACTAAAAGTTTCTTTCCCTTCCTTCTGGGAAGATCCCTCTTCCTCACTACTGCTTCCACTCACTGGTTCCGCTTTTCTGGTTCCCGCAGTTGCACGTCCTCTGGCTCCTCTGGCCCCTTAAATCCTTTAACACTCCCTTTCCCTATCGCATGCCAAGCAACACCGCTGCTTTTTCTTTCCTTGCCCACTTTCAGCCAACACGCACATACTGTTAGGATCATTAGCTAACAAGTTACATTTTTTCCTTATTTCATGATTATTCCACACCATGAAAAACAAATCAACATATGGTACTTCATCCCGCTTACCCATTCTTCTACAGAACCACATCAACTGTTAAATAGCATTATCATTCAAGGTCACATATTCTGGCCTCCTGATTTCATCATGGTCAAGTTTTTACATGGGCCACCATTGTCCACAGTATTTTAGTAATTTAAATTTTGTCAGGAGATCCCATCCAAATTTATTCCAATGTTTAAAGATGCGTCCTAAAGGGGTACAAGGAGGCTTCTCAGTAGAGGAAACAGAACCCATACTGAAATTATTTCCTGGAAAAAATTTCTTTAAGGACAGCTTCATACACTCAGCTTTTAGGAAGAGAGCCCTCTGCTGCTCATCCCCCACATCTCTGTGTAGATGAAAATTAAGCTCCTGCTGCAGTGCTTTAGCAGAACAATTTATGCAGAGCAATCAGAATCCGGAATAAAAATTCTACTCATCAATCCCCCCCTGTGCCCCTTTACTGATATTTTGTAGAGGCATCGCACTGTTGTGTTCATCACTGTCTGACTGTGGGAGTGGAGCTGGGGGAGCCCCCAAGCAAGAGGTCAGTGCGCGTTGGAGTCCAGTTGGGCCGCTGCTCCCCGTTGGGTACGACAAGACTATCCGGGCAAGGGTGCCAGTGTGGTCCCGTCTGGGTGCCTGAAACTGTCGTCCCTCAAGCAGGGTCGGTTACCCGCTGTGCAAAAAGCCAGTCTGACACCCAGAGCTGAGCTACTGGTTTATTCCCGATTCACGCAGAGGTGGGCGCTGGGTGCCGATTCCACAAAGCCAACACGCCGCACAGAAGAACTCCGGGGGAGTTTATACACTTCGCCCTACACAAATCCACATTTACTCTTATCGCTTTATCCCTCGCTGGGTAACAACCCGCCTCGCCTCCATTTACGGTCACGGAGAGCTGTCGGTTTTCTGTGCAAGCTCCAAGGGTGAGGGTCTTTATTCAGGCAGAGGTCTTCGAAGCAATGGGCGTGATCTTGCCTATTAGAATGAGG